TACCCATAAGGGCCTTTTAGTGCGCCCTACGTACTGCAGGCCACAACTACATTCCAATGCAGAAATAACCCCTTCTGTTTTACATGTTATGAACTCTTTAATGTCAAAAGATTTCCCATTGCTATTAGATATGAATGAATTCCTTTTCTTATTCTGCCCTCTAGTGGCCTTACATACACAACATTTCCTGCACGGAAAAAAGCCTTTATAGTCAAATAGTGTAATCATTTTATTTGGCGGATCCAGAACATTTTTCACTATTTTATCCCTAAGTGTAGGGGCTTTTCTATATATAAACTTTGGTTGATCTGGCAATATATTACCTAATATCGGGTCTGTCTTTAATATCGGCCAGTGTTTTTTATAAAAATATTTTGAATTTTCTTTTATTGTGTGTTATAATCAAGGATAATGGCTAATTGATCTACCTGGCCATTGTCCTTGACCTTATTTTTCAGGAGCTGTTCTCTTTTCAGATTAGCTACTGCTAATTTGTTCCTCTTAAGGTCAGATGATAAATAACCCTTAGCTAGAAACCTATCTTCCAATACCTTAGCCTGAGTGTTATATTCATCTTTAGATGTGCAGTTCCTCCTTAATCTTATGAACTGACTTTGGGATATTGTATAACCATGGTGGATAGTGGCAACTATCCAGCGGGGTATAACCATTTCTATCTACCTCTTTAAAGTGTGTTTTCGTGCTGATTTCCGTTCCCTCCACTTTAATTTCTAAATCCAAAAACTGAATGGATTGATGACTATATTTCCATGTAAATTTAATATTTTTATTATTGTCATTTAATTTATTAAGGAAATCAGCTAATATGGTCTCATCCCCTTTCCATACGATGAACACATCATCTATAAATCTTCTATACATAGCCAATTCTGCTGGTTGGTTTTTGTATATGGCTTTTTGTTCCCAGTGAGCCATAAACAAATTGGCTACACTGGGAGCAAATCTGGCTCCCATAGCCACTCCTTTTATCTGCCTATAGAATGTATTGTTATGCCAAAAGTAGTTATGGGTTAAGCAAAATTCTAGACATTGTATAATGAACCTTCTCTGGGTGCATGTTAAACTACTTAATTCTCTTAAACCGCTGTACTGTGAAGGAATACATGTGAGTGTCCATTTGGTTTGGCGTTTTTTTGATCATTAAAACGTTATTACACTATGGAGGTCTTCTGTGTTTGCTCCTTCATACATACCTAAGTCCGATTGTGTGGAAGGGTATCTTGAGGTGCGGAGTTATGTTGGAACCAGAGGAGCCGGTGGAGCCAGATTGTGAGACATCCTCTGGTGTGGGATACCAAAAAGTGTTGTGGCCCTGAGGGGTCGATGCTAGGAGGTGAGGAGGCACTCTAGCCACTGTGGGATTAGTTACACTAGAGTGTCATCAAGAGCACAAAGAAAGTGTGGAATGAAGATTGAAGCACTCTATGTTTGATGAGCACAGTTGTTATTTGCACAGAACTTTATGTTTAGAAAATTTGCTTTACATGAATTTGATTATATTGTATTTGAGCACTGATCACTTTATATTCTAAGTGTGGTTATCACTTATTTTTACACTACACTAACCTGGTGAGCCTAATTGGTTGGCAGACCAGGTATCTGGTTTATTGTGGGTTTGCATATTGAGCACGTTTCACTTTATATATTATTTGTTGGAGTCACATATGTATGGTTTATCTTATTATCACTATTTATATATTTATATATTATTTATTGAATATTAATATTATTTTTAATATATTAATTATGAATGTGGAGTTTGGTTTTTAACATTTTGCACAACCTATTTATTTTTATCAAATTGTGTTATTACATTTGTTTAGCACTTCACCATTTATTGGTTTATTTTGTCATATCCTGAGGTATAGGGAATAGGTGATAGCAGCTGGCACATTTAATAGGGACTCATATAGTTGAGCGCAGGAGGACTTTCCCATTCAACAAGGCAGAGGCCATATTGATGAGGACAAGGGCCTCTTACTCACATCCCTTGCCCAGTGGTTGTAGGGGTGTGAAGGGGACTTTTCAGAATCTGGAAGCCCCTTTAAAATAAGGGGACTTTCAGAAATCCAGCCCCTTCTTATGTAAATAAATAAGGGGCACCAATTGTCAACTGCTATTCTTCGAAAGGAAAACAAATGTCAATACATAGACCTATCCTCTTGTGCTGCACATGACAAATCCATTAGCTTTATATACAGTGGGACAGGGATGTAGTGATCTCTAGACTTTACATGGACTCTGTTACCACTATATTGCCTGTGTGGGGTTCTTTGCAGCCAGTCACGCCACTAGCCAGCCTAACCGCCTATTAACATATCCCTCTGTTTTCTAGAGATCTCCTTCTTACAGATGTAGCTCTCAAAGCATGGGAAGCAGCAGATAAACTTTATTCTGGTAAAACCCATACTTTGACAAGCTCTGTTCCACCTACAAGATCGCCACACAAATGTTTTAAAGCAGAACTTTTTTTTTTTACCATGCAGTAAGGTCGTGCCCCCATTGCATGGATCAGCTGCTCATACTTGCCTGTCCTGCCTGTCCTGCTGGTCCCACGGAAAACAGCATTCCCCCACGGTCCAGCAGTGGACTGTTCCTGTCTGTGGAGTGTGCATTGAGCGTGCTGACATCAGGAACAGTCCATTTACAAGACCGCTGGATTGTGGGGGTAGGGCAGGAGCTGAAAGGACCGGTCTTGTGCTGGGAAGATCGGCAGGTCAGTTGAGTATATCTTGAGTGTCCTCTCCCCTAGAACCAAACAAGCATTTAAACGGTGCAGTGCCAGCACAGCCCCACTGCACGGGTAAAAAAAAAAATTCTTTCATCTCTGCTTTAAAACATCTATATATCCACAAAATACTAGCTACACTACCCCGCCATTACAGGACTCTTATGCTTTTTCAATGATAAATGAGTAAACTTGAAACCCTTGACGCCCTTATCTATAAGCCTTTCTCTAGTTCTGGCCTATTAGTAAAATTTTACTCCACGAATGAATGGAAAAAAAGTAAAATTTACTCATCAATTGCACTGCAATGGCCTCTTAAGATGCTCAGATGCATAACTCACTGGGAGTCAGAACAAAAAAATGTACATAGATCGTTCTACATTCCTCAAAGGTTGGCTGCAATTTCTTCCCACCTCTCCCTACTATACTGGAGTGAATGTGGACATCTTGGATCTTTACTACATACAGTATTTGGTGGCGCTCTGAAAATTGAACAGTCTTCTGAAGTGATTTTTGTAAGATCATGGCCTCACTAACCTTTTATAACTTCTTCATGACTGACTCTGCCCTCTGACTGACTCTGCCCTCTCACTTCTGGGAAAAGTGTTTGAATACTGGACTTATTAAACCTGGACTTCCCTTACCAATACTTTGGTAGTGACCAGATTATTAATAGTGAGACTAGGGAAACAAAAAACAGTCCCTCCTTAAAGGGTATGTAGCACTGTGTCTTAAACAGGGGCTATTGTCTAAAAGTAGTTTCTGGCTGGGTGGTAGTTAACTCAGACTGATTGTATAGTTTTTCACTTGGTCGTTCCCTAAACTAAATTTTTATTAATGTACAGATGATTTCCATTTCCCTAACACAAAAACTTACTCAACTATTTATTACACACACTAGGTCCTGTCATGCCCCACATAAACCCATGTTCCAACAGAATAGAAAGGATAGGCCCTTTGTCCTAAGTGTGAGATAAGCACAGGCACTGTGCTTCACATGTTGTGGAAATGTCCCAAACTATTCAGTTATTGGTGGAAGGTTGTTGATACCATCAATGTAGTGTTTTGAACTAATATAACAGCGGATCCAAACGTCTGCATCCTGGGGCTACTAAATGAAGAAAACTACACCTCACACATCTATATTGTTATCACTGGTTTACTGTTTGTTGCCCTTAAGCTGATGGCACAAAAAATCTATCCCTCCTACCTGTGAATTGGAAAGATGCAGTCAATTCTTTATTGCAATGGGAGAAACTGGTGTGTCAACATAGGGGATGCACCAACAAATTTCAAAAATTGTGAGATAATGGAATGGAGACATCAGGCTTGGCTACAGTGCAACTTATTTCACAAAGACTTTAAAGTTAGAAATGTGTGCATCACTTTTTGTACTTGGATGCTTGTGGATGGGGTAACTAGACACATAACTGAACACAAAGTAGATTGGATTTCATGCTACTTTATTGATACACCAACAATATGCCCAAGCTTTTTGGCACATTGGGTACAAAATGGACTGTTCCACTGAAATAGAAGATATAAACAAAGAATGCATATTACATCCAGGTCCTTCACAATTTTGCCAAGGTTCTTTAGGATATAACTTTCAATATATCTGTTCAAGCTGCTGTTATTAAAGTGAAGGTGGAACCCATGACACTGTAAACCACTATTGTACGAAGGGGATTAGTACTGTTTGTGAAGGAGAGAAGGGTGGTTTGATCTGGGATGTGTTTGTATACTTTGTACTGGAAAAAAAAATGTCAATAAAAAGCTGATAAAAAACTGGTTCCAGAACTTATGACACAGCTTACATCTCTGATATGCTTATTGATGTTCTTAAAGTGAATAGGCTATAGTTTGAGGTACATGTCACTGATTTCAGAGGTACTGTACAATGGTAAGCAGTAGCTACAAATGAGGAGGTCTACTTGTTGCGACCTTTGTCTTTGTTATGTTACTCTATTCACTGCCCTATCTTTTTCTTTTCTCCCCTTTTCTCATCTCCTATGCTCTTCCTAACATTTTTACTCCAAGTATGACGTTTCAAACAATTTTAACCACCTCCCGCCCGTCATATAGTAAAATGAGGGGTGCAAGGTGGTTATATCGTTCTGGGAGGATGTCATATGATGTCCTCCCACTCTCACCGCGCATGCGCGGCTCAGGGAGCGTGCAGCGTGGCGATGGGCGGTGCGCTGTGCTCCTCGGACACAGCGGATCACCGATCCGCGGAAAGAGCCAAAGATGTCGGCTCGGCCATGTGATCAGCTGTGTCCAATCACAGCTGATCACATGTAAACAGGGAAATGCCGGTTATCGTCATTTTTCTCCTCACGAGCAGTCAAGCATTACGCGGAGGGGACATGTACACTGATCATCAGGGCACTGATGATCAGTGTGCCGTGATGATCAGTGTAGCCCCAGCAGTGCCACCTGTCAGTGTCCATCAGTGCCTTGTGTCAGTGCTCATCCGTGCCACCTGCCAGTGCCCATCAGTGCCACATCAATGCCACATATCAGTGCCTACCAGTGCACATCAATGCCACATATCAGTGCCCATCTGAGCTGCCTTTCAGTGTCACCCATCAGTGCCAGTCAGTGTCACGTATCAATGCCAATCATTGCCACCTATCAGTACTGCCATTCAGTGCTACCTACCAGCACCAGTCAATGCTGCCTATCAGTGCCAGTCAGTGTCGCCTAACAGTGCCAGTCAGTGCTGCCTATCAGTGCCATATATCAGTGCTGCCTTTCAGTGCCCATCAGTGATGCCTCTCAATGCCCATCAGTGCCACCTACCAGTGCCTCCTCATCAGTGCCCATCAGTGCCACCTATCAGTGTCCATCAGTGCAGCCTATCAGTGTCCATCACTGCATCCTCATTAGCGCACATCAGTGAAGGAGAAAAATCACTTATTTACAAAATTTTATAACAAAAACTAAGAAAAAACAGGGGTTTTTTTCAAAATTTTCAGTGGTTTTTGGTTTGTTTAAGAAAAAATAAAAAACACAGAGTTGATTAAATACCACCAAAATAAAGCTCTATCTGTCATAAAAAAATTATAAAAATTTCATATGGGTACAGTGTTGCATGACCGCGCAATTGTCATTCAAAGTGTGACAGCACTGAAAGCTGGAAATTGACCTGGGCAGGAAGGGGGTATAAGTGCCCTGTAGGCTTGTGGTTAATGTTAATATTTGGCCTCAGTACTGGATGAGAGTAGAAATACAGTGTCTCAGTGTACAATACTGCTTGTTTTGTTTACTGAAAGTACTCAGTTAGGATGGTAATTACTTCTATTTTCTTATGTAAAATCTCTGCCCTATCCAGTATTGTATCTTTGTATTTTAAATGCTTTCTTTGCACAATAAAGATTTACAAAATAATTCAGCAGAACTATAATGCTTAATCCTAAACCTCTGTATTCGATGAATTCCAGGAATGAGGGGGGGTGTACTCTTAGCATGAAGGAGGGTGTTACAGTCTGACTCCTTCCAATATAACAATGTCTCCAAACTGGTGCTAGAACATACCTTATGTTGATATCAAGGAGCTAATCTGTAGATAAGGAGAAGGTAGTGTCAAGATAATGGGGTTTATTCAATAAAGGAAAATAGATTGTTCACTTTTAAAGGTTAATTTTACTTTGCAAGGGAATTATAACCAGAGTTTAGTGAATGAGGTTAAGCTCTGCCAAATGTCATCATCCAATCATGTGCAACAGGCCTCGACTGGCCATAGGGCACACCAAGGCAGGGCCACATGTCCTAACAAGAGCTGGCTGGAGGAATCCTCCCTGTCCAGGAATAACCCTCGCTTGCTCCCTGATATTTCCTCTCCCACTGGCTGGCAGCTAATCCAAATGTGACCTGGAATGTCAGTGGATTGCCAGTGTGCATATGCGGGTTCCAGGACTGCTGAGAGCGGGCTATAGGGTGCTGCAGGTAGAAGGAGTGATCGGGGCAGCATCATAAAGAGTTGAGGAGGGGGGATGCAGATGATGGCCAGGACTGGGAGGAGAGGATGGTGGGTGTGTGATGTATAATGATCTTCCTGTACATACATCCTGGCTGCTGCTGTAATAGTGAGAAGTGTACCATATATCATCATGTTATCTACATACAGCAATCAGCCAACACAGCACCAACATTATTTATTTATTTCAGGTACTTATGTAGTGCCATCAATTTACACAGCACTTTACATATATATTGTACATTCACATCAGTCCCTAACCCTCAAGGGGTGTACAATCTAAGGTCCCTAACTTACATTCATATATACACATATTAGGGCAATTTTAGACAGGATCCAATTAACCTACCAGCATGTCTTTGGAGTGTGGGAGGAAACTGGAGTACCCCGAGGAAACCCACGCAGGCACAGGGAGAACATGCAAACTCCAGGCAGGTGGTGCCATGGCTGGGATTTGAACCAATGACCCTAGTACTGCCAGGCAGAAGTGCTAACCATTTAGCCACTGTGCTGCCCATAATACTTCTATTCCCGTGTGTATAGCTAAGTACACAGAGGGGTTGATTTACTAAAGGCAAATAGGCTGTGCACTGCAAGTGCAGTTGCTTTAGATCCAAAAGGAAGCTCTGAACTGATTTGATGCTCTGCTGATTTCTTTCATCCAATCATGTGCAAGCAAAAATGCTCTTTTTTTTTTTTCCTTGCATGTTCCCCTCAGATCAAGAGCAACCGCACTTTCAGTGCACTTGGAGTGCACAACCTATTTGCATTTAGTAAATCAACCCCAGTGTGTCTATTGTGTAAATGGGTGGTACTCTGCAATTCCTGAAGAAATTCCTTCTGCATGTAGTGTCTTTCAAAGAGCAGTAATGGGTACCTCAGTGTACACAGTGCAGAGTCCGGAGGACAACCTTCCACCAATAACAGCACAGTGTACACAGTGCGGGGGTCCTCACTATGTTCAGCCAAACAAACTATAGAGGCCCGCTGTATATAACATAGTGTGCAGGGGACCAGAGTGTGCAGAGTGCAGGTGTCTGGAGTATGTAATGCACAGCAGTTCTACAGAGTGTGGGGGTGTGGAGTATGTAATGTACAGTATATTGTACAGAGTGCAGGTGTCTGCAGTATGTAATATACAGTATGTTCTAAAGAGTGTGAGGGTCTGGAGTATTTAATGTACAGCATGTTCTACAGAGTGTGGGGGTCTGGAGTGTTTACTATACAGCATGTTCTACAGAGTGTGGGGGTCTGGAGTATTTAATGTACAGCAGAGTGTACAGAGTGCAGTAGTCCAAGATATGTAACATACATCACAGAATACAGTAATCATTGGAAAAGTTCCCCGTTACATTGGTGTTCAATAAAGTTGTATTCCCTTATATTGGTGGTCAGAGAAGAAAGGCTCCCTTACAGTGATAGAACAGTATCATATATTTACATAATTCCAAATGATTTTACAGTAAATGTAGCAGGCTAAAGATAATTAAAAGACATTGAGAAATCAATAGTTGTCATCATTTGTAATTTGGTTTTAAAAAAATAAAATGGGCTGCTCAGTCTAAAATGCCCGGGCCTATATTTTTCTCCCAGTCCAGGCCTGATGTGCAATCCAAAATGCTGTTTTTTTAAATTTTCCTTGCACATGATTGAGTAGTATTTGGAAAGTGAAACTTCACAACATTCACTAGTCTCTGGAAAAAAAGGCTCTCGTATAATGCAACTTCCTATGCAAAGTGAACAGCTTATTTGACTTTAGTAAATCAACCGCAATAGCTGTATGTAGTACACTGACCAAATTAACTGAAAATGTTAGATCTTGTGTTTGAGTGAACCCTTAAAGTCCCCATTTTTCCATGATCTCCTCCCCTTTATTTTGGGGTGTTATTATGGAAATTATAATTGTGGTAAGCATCAAGATAACCCATAGCAAATCTATCGGAAATTCCACAGGAGGGTGATTGATGTATAGATTCAATCAATGCTTCCCAAACCCTTGATATGGGAGGATGACAGTGTATAGGAATGTTAACATCCAGAGCAGCTAAGTATGCATCAGGGGAATGTGACCAATATCAAGCAATGCCTGCATCCCAGAAACAATGGCATAATGGCAACTACTGTTTCCAGAACAATTGTCCACAAGAAGCTTAAGAGGCTGTAATAATGAGTTGTCTAGGCGGGTGAGTGGAGTTCTGATGAAAATGCCATATTGTATATATTATTACAGGACACTTAGGGAGCTATTTACTAAAACCGGAGAGTGCAAAATCTGGTACAACTGCATAGAAACTAATCAGCTTCCAGGTTTTATTGTCAATGCTTAATTAAACAAGCTGAAGTTAGAAGCTGGCTGGCTACCCAGCTGCAGCAGATTCTGAGTACACCAGTTTCAGTAAATCTACCCCATAGTGTATTGAACCATGAGGAACTCATGTTTTCAAGATCACCCATTTAAGAGAGCCTTAGTAACCAGTACATCCAAGATTTCTTTATGCCGAATACCCAGATCTCCTGGTAAAGTAGTATAAAATGTTGATTTCTTAACGGCACATAAGTTGTTCACTTTATAAGGGAATTTTCAGTTTAGAAAGGAAGGAATTTTTGTTTAGCTTAGTGAATGTTTCTTGAACTTACCAAACATATCTGCCACTGCTATTTGTACTACGTTATTACGTAAGCAGAAAATGAATGGGCTAAGAACAGGGGTAACAAATATTGTTACAATGCTGACAAGTTTATTAAAAGACATATAATAATTTCCTTTTGGGATAACGTATAAAAAAAATTGTTCCACCATAACCAATGCATACAAGAAATAGGTGAGAAATACATGTGGAGAAAGCTTTTTTTCGCCCAGTGACTGTAGGTATTTTAGAGATGGTGACTACAATCATTACATATGTCCAAACTGTAATACTTAAAGATCCAATAATTATAAAAGAAAACATGATGAAATCCAATAACTGAAGAAAAGTAGTGTCCATGCAGGCAAGTTTCAGGATAGGAAAAGAGTCACAAAAAAAATGATCTATCGTATTTGATTTACAGAAGGGCATTGTTGCTTTAAAAAAAAGCTGGTGTGAGATCAATGAGAAAACCTCCAGTCCAAGACACACTTGCAAGGAGGAAGCAGGTGTTCCAGTTCATGATATTTACATAGTGAAGAGGATTGCAAATGGCTACATAGCGGTCATAGGACATGACTGTTAGTAGCATAAAATCAGCTGTACCTAATGCAAAGTAAAAGTAACACTGAACAAAGCAGCTCACAAATGTTATGGTCTTTTTGAAAGACAATAATATGGCAAGAAGTTTAGGTATCACAACAGATGCAATACCTATTTCAAGTAGTGAAATATTTCCAAGGAAAAAATACATGGGCAAATGTAGTCGTACATCACAACATGTCACACTTATTACAACAAGATTGCCAAAAATAATAACAAAATATGCAAAGAAAAACAAATGAAAAAGGATCATGTCTAAAGCATAATCTAGTGGAAATGCAATCAAGATAAATTCAGTCACATTGATCTGTTGCATTTTGAAAATATGAGATCATTCAAGAAATAAAAAAAATATAAAAAATCTTGGATAAATAAAATTATCATAATGTTAATGTTTTAACCTAATTTGACAAATATTAACATTTACATATGTAAAGCTATGCATTTCTACCAAACAATATACAAATACAAATGTAATACAAAACAAATAATTGAGTAATTGTTATTATTTAAAAACAGTTTTTTTAAGAAGAAGAACT